GGATCTAGTGCTTCTTAGCGGCCTTCGTAGGTAGCACGCTTCCATTGCGCCAGCCTTGTGCCAAATGTAAAAACAAGACATTACGGCGCCGTTGGGGCTGTGTCGTATTTTTTTCACACAGCAAGACACGCCACGCGAGGGGCCTCTTCGATGCGGTCGGTAGCTTGCATGCGCTGCAGTAAGTAGAAGAGTCACCACCACGGGCATTGTCAGTCCCCTTGAGGATCGAACAAACCTTACACGCCCTTGTTCTCCGTTTTCTCTCTGATTGATTGTTTCCTGGCCGCCATTCGTCGTTCTGCAAGGGTTGGTGGGCGAATTGTCGGTGCAGGACTTGTTTCGAGGGTGTCGCTTGAAAGTTCTCATTGATACTCAAGTTCTCCCAGTCAATATCACGCAGTTGACACAGCTCAAGATGCAGCTGCTTCACAAACTTGACGTGAGTAAGCTTGGAGAGGTTTGCGGCAACACGCCCAGCGCTGTAAATTATATAGGCGTAGATCACAGCGAGGCCAGCAAGACCTAGAAATAGTGACTTGTAATATTTCTTTTACTTGATATACAGCTGCAGCGAGTACCTACAACATGTAACATACACGTTTAGAAGTCACTTAATCTTGTATAATACGTGTTTTGAGTACTTACCGTTGTAAGCGTTGCTGGTCGTGTACGTCCACTCCTCCCATGTATGTTTGATAGACTTTAAATATCCGTGGGCACTCTAACTCTTGCTGATCTCCAGTGAGCTTATCGCGGCGCACAATACGATCTATCTCCACGCTGCCACCGGTACGCAGCATTTAGACAGCACGGGTGTCCCACCAGCGCACCAGACGCATGTCAGGAACACGAGAGGCTTTTGTGACGACGAACGTTCCACGTTGAATATTTGCAGGGTGATTTTTTGGTACTTGTTGGGTCTTCTTCGCTTCACCTTTCTTCTTCTTCGGGATCAACTGTGCACCCATCCCCAGTCTATCGGTACGGACAGTCCCTATTGAGTAAAATTCCATAGTGAGCAATTGCACGGAAAGTGGCAACGTTGTGTAGAATCTGTCGGTCACTACGAGTCGCATGTCGCCGTTTTCCGGTGCCGTCGGGCCGAATATTTCTTTGAGACTGCGAGCGACTGCTGCTGAGACGGACTTATAGTCCGTGGAGCTGGTGCTACTAGCAGGCTCTTTTTTTACCGCAGTACACTGCAAAGCTGTAAGATACAACATACAATTGAAGTTAGTATGTTTGATACATGATAAGGGAGCTTTGGGAGCTTTGAGACCAAAACCAAATTGCAGGTGTGTCCGAAGACACACATGCTACTCACCGAATGCAGTAGGCGGCTGTGGAGCCGCACAACATGAACAACTTTGTGCCCCATTTATGGGGCTTGTCTTTCATGTAGACCCTCATTCTGTTGAAAGTCATCCGAGAGGGAAGCATGGCCTCGTTGAAGGCCATGACGGCCGGGGGAGTATAGCCAGCAGCGAAACGATTCTGAAGTGCATCAATCACGGGTCGTAATTTCCAGGCTCGATCTGTGGCTGCTCGTGCGTCCTCGTTAGAACTTTCCACCTTCATCGGTCGTTCGCCAGTGGTTCGCCAATTTCTCCTTGTTGGGGCGGTATATCTCGCCAGCAACAATCCCACAAAAACACACAGCTCACGAGGCGTAACCGACGGAATTTTGAGATGTTCTTCACGAATCGTCTCACGCGTCTTCCGTTTGAAATTTGGGTGCTTCTGTCACGCGCAGCTTGTTTCAAATATTGCCCTCTTACTCGTTCGTCAATCTTGCTGTCGAAGTAGTTGTTCGTCTCAGTAGTGATGTCTTCCCATAATACAGGCTAAAGGAAATAGAAGAACGCTCCGGAATGCATGGCTGCCGCCGCTAATGCCCGAGAGGATGGTCCAGACACTCCGCTATATAAGTTAGGGTAGTCGTCAAACATTGCCTGGGGCGGCCGAGGCTCATAAGGCTGCATCAAATAATCGTACGGCGTGTGCGTCGTCAAGTTCCCCCAACCTGTCTCTCTCATCTCCTTCAGGAATACATCGGACGCCTGGCCTGACGCAATGTTTGCCATGCCACCAATAGAAGACACCTAATCATCATCAAACCGCATATCCGGCGGCACTGGTAGGCGCTCATCATTTGCGTCAACGCAATCCTCAGATGAATCGTTGTCCTCACCATCATCATTCTCAGCTTTAGATTCAAACGTCGCGTAGTCCATGAAGCCGCCGCTAGTATTGACATCTAATGTAAACCAAATGCATACAAGTTAGTGGAACATCGTAAGATGTATAAACGTTATGTGTATACCTCCGTTATTGGCACCGACACGTACTTCATTTGCCTCCTCTTCGGTTGGTGCTCCCACTGTGCTATTGCAATCATCGAGTGGGTCTTCATCAAGGATTGAGTCAAAAGAAGAGTCACTGACGTCCGCACAAAGTCTGGATCAAGGTTTCGTGACGTCACCGGTGAAGTAGCTGCACACCCAGGTGAGCTGTATGCTTCACTGTTTGCACTGCTGGACGAATCACAAGGAGGAACACCGGATATGACTCTCGTCGGTGGTAATACTGGCGTATGAGGAGCTGATACCGGCACAGCAAGAGCTGCAATAGAGATACACGATTAGATTTCACAGTATACTGTACCTCCAGCTTACCACTTATCTTCGTCGCCGCTATTCTTTTGCAGTTGTATCGTCTTTGCCACTGCCATAAGTTTCTTTTTAGTTGACGGGTTGATATCCCTCCGAGTAGCTTTCGCAGCAGCTTGGATCTTGCGATGGCCTTAGCTGCCGCTTTTGGCCTTGGTACAAGCTTCTTATTCCTTTGCATGGCCTTATCGGACGGTAACTTCTGCATCCTAAGCTCCACAAACGGGATACCAGTGTTAGACAGTCCACCAGACAAGTTTGAGCAGACGATGCCTTACCTAGGTCGACCTTGTCAAGGTAAATCATCAGCTCGTTTGCTCCAGCAAAGTAATCTAAACTGCGCATACCCTTGGTCGTTTTGCCGGGCGGAAGATACGTGAAATCGCCTGACCTGTGGTTTGTTTTGACGTCCACCCAACCTTCCGTAGCTCTCCCCACCTTGCCCGAAAAGCCATCCTGGTGCGGCAGCAACACTTGCGCTCTGGACCGCAAATCTGAAAGTGAGTATGATTGAGTGGCGCCAGAAGCGGGCAGCTGTGCGATACGCTTGTGACCAATTTCCTTTTTAATGTATCATTTTTGTCGATGATGGATACATCACCTACCCCTCGCTGACTGAATAGTTGTATTATTCGATACAAATTTAAGTTTAGCATTTTTTATCTTGGACCGTACAAGATAAGAAATTGTCCGTATCTTGTACGGTCCAAGCGCTCGGGCTTAAGGGGGAGCTCCTGACGTCGTCATCGCTGTTTGAGCCATCACCTTCTTTTCCTCATTCTTTTGCTTTTGATTGCTAGTCGGACAGAGTTGATACTGCAATTCTAGGTTTCCAGTCTCTCCAGGCTCGTTAAAACTCAGAAATTGCATCTTCCCACTTTGGACGTATTCCCTTTGTGTCCGTGCTGGTGGTGTCAAAATTCTTCTGATCTTATATCGAGCTTCGATTACCAGCAAAATGGCCCATCGCATAGATTGATTTGTCAGCAAAATGGTCCATCGCGTAGGCTGGTTACCATCTTCATCCAGTGAATTTCTTTTCCTCGACTTGGGTATTCTGAGCCTTGCCCGTTTTGTATTTTTTTAGATCTTAGTCCAGATCTCGTCTTCAGCGCAGTAATGGAGGGGCTTTATTGCCCTCGGCAGACAATGACAAGTTCCTGGGAGCGAGCGTGGTTGTCCTAGGGGGGCTGATCACGTCATTAACTTGATGGGCTCCATTATCGATGAAGCTCGTGGCATAAACCGAGGCAACAGCCGCTCAGGACGGCATGCTTTCGCTGGATTAGCTCGAGATTGGATTGCCAGCGTGCCGAAAGCATCATCGCTTTTGCTATTAGATAGGTAACCTGTTTTTTTTATATGCCAGTTTTTGTCGACTTTTTTACATTTTGAAATAAGTTGCCAGAACAAAAGTCGGATGCTTTTCCATTTGGACATTGCTCTATATCGTAGTTGCAACAAACACTACCTGAACAGAATGATGAGCTTTTTTATGAAGTTAAAGGACAACAAGGTGCTGAGCTGTGAGTCCATTTACACCTTTTTTTTTCATTCACATCTTCAATACAGAAATCTGCCTGAATAAGGAACGCCTGATATAAATTAAAAAAGAGATTGTATAAGCTGACAATGCCTCGCTAAAAACAGACTATAATATCGGATCATGGGCATGTATTGAATTAAGTTAGGATAAATTGAAGATTCGACTTTTGAATGAGACCAGAGTGATTCCAGCAGTGCTGAATCGTGGAAGCGCTAACTTTAGACCATGCAGCATCGCACCATAGCAGTGTAGTTAGCTGGTCGACGCTGTACGGCCTTCGCCTAGGCGATCTACTCAGCTAGCTCATTATACGACAGACTAGGTGAGCGAGCAGTCTTCTCGAGGATGGCTACCTTCTCGGATCAGGTGAGGCGGAGACGATTGGAGGACATGGGGGTGCTGAGGACGCAGTCGGCTAGTGAGGTTGAATGTAAAGGTAGGAATGAAGTTCGGCTCGTAGGGCTTGAAGCGAAGGAGGATCACCTACTGCGCGCCCATTTTTTTTAAATTGGATCCTTGCCCATCACTATCCCATCTCCCTAAATCTTTCCCGACTATAAAAATTGCGAGGTTATTAGTTGAAACCCCGTTCCTTATTCAGGCAGATTTCTGTACGGAGAACGTAATATGATTTCTAAGCCAAAAGGTCCGTGTAAAATTAGGCTGCAACCTCTTATTTTCTCCATGCCTAATAAAAGGTGGGGGAGCAATCGATTTAAAAAATGATCTAAACCGCAACTTGTTGAGCAAAAAAAAGGTTTTATCTCATTTTTCAGTGCAGTTCTTCACTTCCGTGGTTTTGGGACCATGTAGTCGTCACCGTACGTTTCCTTTAAGAAATAGTGCGGGTCGCGCACAGTGTCAAACGGCAGTCCATTGATTGTCACTTGGGAGAATGGCTTCACTTTCTCGACTGGTAGCGTCTTATCTCCGTACTTCTCCAACCTCCACTCGGTCTCATTGACCTTCTCCATCGCATAGAGATCAAGATACGGCACGGAATAATTCCGAGCGATCGGCAGTCTTGAAGTGTAAAGTGTGGCGGCAAGCGGGTGCGTTGGGGCCACGCAGACACGCCAAATGTTGAGAAAGAAGAAGTGATAGCCCTTTGCCACCAGAGCACGACCCAAGTCATCAAGTTGTCCGCTGTATGCGATATCTATGTCCTCAGTAAAGGGAATCATGGACCCGTTACGCACAGCACCGAGTAGCGACCCGTAGACGATTAGTGGCGCTTTACCGAGCGCGTAGAGCCCCTCATACACTTCAACTAGCAGCATGTGTAGCACACTGGCGTAACAACGAGTCTTGGCTGAATGTTGCGCTAGTAGGTCCATTCGATCCGCTCCAGAACAAAACGGCGAGTCTTTGCGTCCAGTGATAGGTAGACAGTATGCGAAGCCAACGTCCTGCGCGTCGCTGTCATTGCAGAGTACACGATGGCTGTCCTTGAAGACTGGTGGCTGAAGGTCTGCTTCTTTGAGGAGAGTATAGTAGCGATGGCTGGAATGGTACTCGATTTGGCTCAAGCTGACTGTGTTTGGGCTGCAGGACGACTCCGAGACATCATTGACACCCGTGGTGGCGCTGGTGTAGTTGCCTGGGTCGCTGACGTTGCTGAACAAAAGGATTCCTGATCTGCTGGACAAGATATTCATCTCCATCGCGAGGTCGCAAGCTACGACGCCAGCCAACAGCAACGTCACAATCAAAAGCATCAAGCTGCCTCGAGCAACCGTGTTCAGTCGGTTGATACTCTCGACAGAATCGTCCACGTTGGCTTTGATTGATGGCATGCTGTGAGTGGATGTTGGTGTGCTCGGAGAATGAGAAGTGAGCAGCAAGTTGGAGTGGACACTGGCATTGGTGTCATAGGGACCAAATGTGGCTGCAAAATCTGAAACGCCAGAGTGACGATCAGTAGCGTTACGCGAAAGGGTGCGGAAACAGGGTTCTTTTTTTTTTGCTGTCCGTACGGGGTTCCGTTTTTTTTTAGGCTCTGCACGTAGAAGGTTGCTCTTATTTACCGTTGAGGTACAGTAGTCGGGGTCGTGGATCACTTCGTCGTTTTGTGTGCGATTTTACTCGACCTCTCAAACACGTCAGGGTTTAAATCTCAAGAATATTTTTAAATCACAAAAAGACATTAATGAATGCCCAGGTAGTTCTAAGATCACTGCAGGTAAAAAATAAAGATGTATATGCTACAGATGATTTGGCTCGCGTTGGTGTAGCTGTAGCGACCATACCGTAACCGTGTGTTATATTTCATGTTTACTTATCTCGCCTCGCATTCGTTTTTTGTGTGAATTGAGTTTACATTGTGATTCGGTAGTGAGCGTTGCCACTGAGCGTATTGATGCTAATCTTATTTTCTGAATGTTGTATCCAAAGTTTCAGGAGGCGGTTTCCTTAAGAAAACTTAGATAAATTTACATCGCACATGATACGCCTGTTTTAATAGATCTACATTGAATTATCGAGCGTGTCATTTCAGCCTGTATCAGAAACATCACATTTACTTTAATAAAGTAGAATGGTGATGTATATCTGATATCCTTTGTACCAGTGATGCCACCTAGGTGAATGTTGCTACATAAGTTACGACTAGCGAAGTAATTTAATACGCGTGAAGGTTAAACTTCAGCTTACACTGTACGGCAAAATATGCCGCCAATATTCTTCTTGTGGTCGCAGTGCGACCCACACTTTACAGGACTGAATGATCTATACAATGTCAATGCAGATGTTTAAATCTAAAGATTTTCCGTGTGAAACACCGCTTTCTCAATCGAAGTGGATATGTTTGGGCTTGGTGTTTCGGAGTGGACATTTGGTCCCGAAGGTTATGCTTTCAGTTAAAACACTTCATGAAGAACACCGTAAGTCATTGCGGCTTTCAACAAGGAACCTATGGATCGTGTGGGTGTTTGTTTTGTATTCGCGCATGATGAGAACTGCCGTGGCATTCATGGCTTTAGACTTTTTCTCGTTGTCATAGCCTAGGGCTGTCTTAGGGTGCTTTCCGGATAGCGACGACGAGCCTCGCATAAGATTTGATGACTAAGTGTGTTTACCTGGAGGTGCCGAAGAAAACTTTTGATGAAGAATGAAAAAAGCAGCAACTGAGGACGTGTGTTCCGGTATGCTTTGTTGTGTCATATTGTATCTTCGACGCTTTGCACTCGCTCAAGCACTACTTTGCACTCGCATCAAGCTGTCAGTCGCACATAATTTACTGTGTAATAGGTTTTATAATGAATGAGGGAAGCAGCTCGGCTATTGTAAAAGGCGCTACTGTACCGGTATCAAGGTTGTCTAAGCTGGTACTTCTGACCCCGCCGGTGCAGAGCAATTTATCACTGCCCGTGACTTTCGATTGCTGTAGTTTGCAGCCGCTGCCGTCACCAAATGTTTAGATTCGGATCTCGTGCGCTTCGCGTCTCTGATGACGGTACTGGTCACCACTGGTCACCACTGGCCACCTGGGGCCCCAGGCCAGTGCGCAATCTTCTCCACAATCATTGTATGCTTTCTTGGATCGAGTGACGTGACCAGGAAAACGATTTGCAGCCATTTATAAGTGTTTGGCGATTTTATCGTATGTTTCGGACATGAATGTAGCTTGAATGCAGTATTTGTGGAGAGATCACAGCACTACATGTAACACAGACACAAGGCGATCCATGTTGTGCATGTCAAAAGCGACGGTAACTCTCCAAGCAGAAGGCAACAACCGTTAACCCGGTTTTGTCTCCTCCCGTCCAATTTTGACTCAGCAACTTCAACCAGTCTGTACGGGCATAAATCCAGCCAACAAATACAGTACCTCTAAGAGGACATTTTACAATGTTCTTCAGTATTCGCCCGAAGTGCCATCAAAGCAACACAAGCCTCGCGAAAGCAGCCTCTTTGTCACCGTGCTCTAGTCGCATACTGTACCGTCTAGACGGTTTGCGCTATGCATAATGTCCAAGACCACACTCATTCATGCTGCTTCACCCACACTGCATTGATTTATTGCAGTGTTTACGACGGTCGTAATACGACGGAGAATTACCTCCAAGTAGTAGTACTTTTCATTTCTTTTCTGAAGATACAAATCTAAAAAAAAGCAGAAAGAGCCCTTGAAAGGGAGCGACTTCAACCAGTGTGCACCTTCAGTAAGAAACACAAATCGAAAGAAGGCCCGAGGTCACCAAGGCTTGAAGTACCATCAGAGAAGCGTGGATGCTGTGAGCATTAAATCTAGTAGAAACAGTCTCCTGATCCATGCTTGCAAAATGCTTCGTTGTGGTCTTGGGCACTCGCTTTCATTCTCAAATTTGCTGTCGACTGCATCAACTGCAATGAAAGTCCAAGCGATCGCTTTCGTCTCGAGTGTACTTGTCGCTGTCGCTTTCGGGTCAGTTGCACCCTGGGAGCAGTACATCCAATCTCCTGCGTCTCGAGACATTGCTCCTGTCAGTATCTATGGCTCCTCCGGCAACGTCAACGTCTCTGACCTGACCGCCAGGCTGTCCGGCAACGGATCTACCGTCACGAACGACTTCGGCCAGCAAGTAGCGGGGTTCATCACGCTGCAATTCGGTCCGACGACTACAAGTGACGCGCATCTTGGGGTGGCCTTCTCCGAGAGTGCTCAATGGTACCATCGATAATAGCCATGTCAGTGGATAGATCCGACTCGATACCGATGTACTGAGCTCCTGCTGCACCCGATTCAACCTACACGTTCGGTCGAGAGTTCGCTCGAGGCAGCTTCCGTTATCTAACGCTGTCCACGAGTTCGTCTGCCCCGATTGAGATCACCGGAGTCTCCACGCACTTCACAGCTGCTCCAGCTACCGACGACGACAAACTACGCGAGTACTCGGGTTACTTTTACAGGGATGATGAGCTGCTCAACCGTATCTGGTACGCCGGTGCGTACACCGTTCAAATCTGTACGATCGCGTCGAACGAATCTCGTGCGAACCCACCGACCATCACCAAGTACGGCTGGTTCAGCAACGCCACCATCCAGAACGTGACTTCCGGTGCGGAAGTGTACGTGGACGGCACCAAACGCGACCGTACGCCCTGGCCTGGTGACTTTGGTGTGGCTACATTGTCATGGGTAACCACGTTGAACGACGACAACCTTTTATCGGTTCGTCACGCTATTAACTCGCTCTATGCGATCCAGAACACGACAAACGGTCAGTTCGCCTATGCCGGTACTCCTATTGCTCCCCGAGTGCAACTAGCGGGTATCAACTCGGATACGTACCACCTGTGGACGCTGATCTCCATAGTCGACTACGCGATTCTCACTGCTGACACGGAATTCCTCAAGAGCCACTGGGACCGTGCGTTGTTCGGCTTTGAGTTTAACCTGGGCAACGTGGACTCGTCCGATATGCTGCTTAACGTCACGGGCGTCTTTGATTGGGGTCGTGTGGGTCAAGGAGGCAAGAACATCGCCGCCAGCTCGCTCCTGTACCACGCGCTTTACAGTTACGCCGACATGGCGAAGCATCTGGGGTACGAGGTGCCGTCCTACAGCGGCACGACGTTTGGAGATCTCGCTGGTGCTGTTAAGACTGCGGTTAATATCAATCTTTGGGACGACTCAGTCGGTCTTTTCCGTGATAACACTACAGCTGCAGGTGCTGAGCTGCACCCCCAGGATGGCAACTCTCTTGCTGTTCGGTACAATCTGACGCAGTCATCAGAGCAAGCTACTACCGTCTCAGAGAACCTCGCGGCTCGATGGAACGAATACGGTGCTGTGTCGCCTGAAGGTCTCGGCTCTATTTCGCCGTTCATCACAAGTCTAGAGGTGGAAGCTCATCTACGTGCCACTCCTGGCGACGCATCACATGCTCTCGCGATCATCCGTCGTCAATGGGGCTACATGCTCGATACTTTCAGCAACTCGACTACTATTGAGGCGTACTACGAAACGGGAGAGCTGATGTACCCATTCTACGGTCTGGAATTGGGTGCATACATTTCGCACGCACACGCTTGGTCTACGGGTCCAACAGCGTCTTTGACGTTGCATGTAGGCGGGCTGAGTCCCGTGACGGATGCTGGTAAGACGTGGAAATTTGTACCACACGCAGCTGGAGCGGGTATTGGCGAGCTACACACTGGGTACTCGCTGGCGACGGGGGACTTCTCCGTTAAGTGGACGACCAAGGACGAGGACAGCTTCTTCCAGGCCAACTTTGAGACTCCAAAGAACACAACGGGGTCCATCTCGGTGCCCACGTTCGGCAAGGCTCTGGATACAATCGAGATTTTCATCAACGGCAACACAGTGTGGGCTAACGGCGAGTCGTCGTGGACTGGCTTCGGTGCGGCCGTTGCATCCAGTGACTTTGTGACAGTGTCACAAGTTCCTTTCGGAGGATGGATCTCAATTGTAGCCAAGGATTGAGGATTAAGAGTCTCCGTAGTATTACGACCGTCTTAAACACGAAGGGAATGCAACGAAAGTATCAGTGCAAGTAGTGTGGATGAATGCGTGCGGTTTTGCACAGTATGCATAGCTCAAACCGTCTAGCCGGTATAGTACTACGGATGATGTTCAAACTTTGGATATGAATACTGGAGAACAGCGTGATAGTCCGCTATACGAATTAAATAAGAAAACATTTTGCCGCCGCCCCGGTTTGCTTCTGCATCCTGTCCGCGCCTATTACATGTAATATTTAGTATAGTTCCAGAAACTTGAAGAGGGAAAACATAAAGTGGGGGCTGTAATACACATACTGCACGGACATGCTCCTGCTACAGCCCCGAATCCACTTGCACCTTCTGGTGCGTACGAGGGGTACATCAGTCTTGATGTTTTTGTTCCATGAACTATCGTATACTTCGTTACAAGCCACACAGTGGCGCGGCACTTTGGATTTATCGCAAGCCTGGGGTTCTGATACTATAAAAGTTTATTTTCGACGGCATAAGGATTTGCTTTAAATCATAAACACAAATCTAGAATAAGGCGCTTTTGGTATGGCAACACTAGTTTACTAGACCCTATTCAAATATGCGTCGTAGAAGTTTTTGTAAGAAAGATATACTGACCACTTCTGCGAGTCGTCTCGACGTTGTCTTTCTAATCGTGAGATGAGTGCTGTTGGTGTCAAACGCTTTTTGGTCTTCCACTGCTGAAATTGCATTTCTTGTATGCTGCTAACAGTTCTCTTCATTTCGCTGTTCGGAGTTGCGTAAGCCAGCATGCGTGCCAAATTCAACTCACCAAAGCGCTTCTCTAGCTCAATAACAACTGCGAATTCATCCGGATGGTCCTTTAAATTGTTCATCTTGTTGACGTACGAGGCCCAAGTACCCACTCAAGTTTCAGATAAGTAAAAACATCGTCAAAAGTTTTACGTTGGCTCCTCCACATTTCCTGCTCCAGCTTCAAAGCAAGATTTTTCGTAAACACGTTGTCCTTTGCCTGAATGAACATTTTCTCCAGTGCGTCGTCGCCGTGGTATTTCTCCATCACTGAATACATCGTCCTAGCGGCATTTTTCTTGTCCAGTTTCGATACGTAGCTGACCCAAGTGTTTAACACTGGGCTTTTGAAAAGGAAATCGCCCTCTTTGTTCAGCTTAAGGAGGTCGAAAACGCCCGCTGAACTTTACTTGCGCTTGAGCCAAATGTTGAGCAGAGCGTTGTGCAGCTTTTCATCGTCAATTCGAACATTGATATCTCTCGCTGCAACCGCCAGCATCTTCGCCACATGTTCATCGCTGAATTTTGCCATCATTTTTGTCAACAACACCTGATAGCCATCCCGACCGCGCATTGTCGCGTACTCCAACCACGTTTTTAGAACGGGGTTCCTCATTTGATAGCCTCCCTCGTCTGCACTGAGGCGTAGCAGCTTGAAGACGTCGTCTGCTGTTTTCTTTTCTTTCAAGCAGTTCTTAAGCTGTGCGTGCTCCACAGCCAAAGCAATGGTGCGTGTACTGCGGTCCCCCTTTGCTGCTACTAACATTTTAGTTAGTCCAGCGTCGTCATACCGCTCCATCAGTTTGAGTAATAGCGCACGATTCGGCCTCTCCGTTAGCTTCATTTCGTACGACATCCAGGTTTTCAGCATTGGGTTCTTCAAAAGATTATCCTCTTGTACTTTTAGGTTCAGAAGACTGAAAACTTCGTTTGATGTTCTCTTTTGAACGATCCAGTTGTCGAGCTGAGCGTTCTGTAACTGGTTCGCGACGATCATCGTCTTATACTTCTGACGTGCTTCGGCTAGAAGCTTCGCCAGAGTCTTGTCGCCGTAGTGATCTGTCAATGTAAAGACCATAGCCGCTTGGCCACCTTCGGGGTTCTTCTTGTAGGCTTTTGTTACAGACTTAGCCCACGTTTCAAACGGTGCACTCTGGAAAAGATCCGCCTTCACTTCTCCAACTTTGAGCCTTTGAAAAAGGTCGTTTGTAGCCTTCTGCTTATCCGATGTCAATCTCCTAGTGGTATTTGTTACGATCTTCTCTAAAGCCTCCGAGCTGATCAAGCTTTTAAGTTTCGCAGTACCAGGCATCTTCATGTCGAATGTTCTTTCTTCAGAGCTGTCTACATCGCCATCCAACACTGACCTAGCGTGGCTTCTTAAGTAGTGTTTGTCATGGCCATCCGCCACACGCTTCGAAGGCTCGCCCTTGGCGACATCCACACTGGACGCCGCGGAATCAGCGCTGGCGCGTGCTAGGAAAACGAGGGTCAGCAGATAGATGATGAAGAAGAAACGCATTACTTTGCAGTCAAGTGATCGGACGAGCAAAAGTGAAAATGAGAGTTGCCTCCAGTGCGTAGCTTTGCAAGGCGTTCCGGGAAGAAAAGCGAAAAAGCCGGAACTTTTTCTCTCGTTATCATCATCGGATGAGAAGTCTGGTTTCTTCATTTCAGCTGCACTTGAGCCCCCCCCCCTCCTCCCCTGAACTCTGACACTGGAAAGCTTCGACACTGCTTATTGTTATCAGGGATTTTTCCTGAGCTGGTATCAACGACCCTCGCTAGCTCTGCACAACTGAACAGTTGTGTTGTAAATACAGATCAATGATTTTATGATGTTACAGTAGAGGCAAAGTGGTAAACACCCGTAGATGATGGGGTGTTTGAGAACAGACACATAGTGACAACTGTAGTACACGCGCAGGGTCGTGCGGTAAGATCTGGAGATGTGGGAGACGATAATCAGAGAGCCCCAAACTTATTCGCAGATCGCCCTTATTGAACTCAAGAGACTGCAAATCTTTAGAATAACTGGATGTTTATCGAAATGCAGGCACAGGCGGGATGCCCGTTACCTCGGGTAATCTACAGTACCGAAAGTGAGGTACCACCATGATGTTAGTCGTGGCATTGATATCTTTCACCGATACTCACATCGGCGTTATTGTAAGTTGACCCTCGATTCTAGTTACCTCGCGCGAATCGGCCCTCGACTCACATTGACTCGCGCGAGGAAACGTGAATCTTATGAATCCGCATTAAGTTGTTTGCTATCAATTAAACATAACTTGTCTTGCTACACAGGGTTTAAAATGTGGCTAAGACAGTCTTCGTGGAATAGTGCTGCAGATTCTCCTTCCGCGCTCACTTTAAACGCAGCCATTCCCTGCTCAAAGTGAAGTTGTGCGTACGTTTTAGGAGCAGTAGCAGTGTATTCTTGCGATCCGCCATGCACCTGTGTGAGACGATGCCGCACTGGGAGGAGGGGGGCATCATCTAGCGTCGCTCCTCGTGACGGTCGTTCGGCTGGTGTCGGTCGCCGGGCTGGTAGAATACCCTTAAAGAGGCCTCAACTATATAATTTTTACTGGTCGTCAACTGGGTCAAACCTGAAATAAGTACACTCAAAATTATGTATTTCACTCAGCGAGTTAGTTGAAAAATAAAAAAATGAGGTTCTGTACACAATCGAATTAATCTAGGGCTGAGTATGGTACCCGAAATGGTTCTCTATCCAAAAAAAAATCAAAACTGTCAGCACGCTGTTGATCTTGCGTTCGTGATGACTGTATGGAAAGCCCAAGGCGCAACTCTAAAACGGGTGCTCCTTTTACTTGAAGGCTGCCCGTATGCACCAGAATGGAGGTTCGAGCATATATATGTCGGGTTATCACGTGTTCCTGATGCAACAAAGCTGAAGTGTTTTCCATTATCACCACTCTACAGGAAAGACAAACTTGCTTCGCTTCGCCTCAGCATTTTCACAACAAAGTGGATAATGGATGCTCAAACGGATGGATACTGGAAACATCGTCCAGATTGCACTGTATAATTGATCCACACGAATATCACACAACAATGTTACCTCCCAGACTCAATAACGTACCTGGTAATTACATGAATGCAGCATCAATTCTAATTGGGTTCATCAAAATTGTCGGTAAAAAGACACATACGATACAATAATCAACAGCTCTGCACCCAGAACCTGATACTGCCAAATTGAGGAAACTGGGTAGGTACATCATATCGCATGCTTGAACCACAATGGAATGCGCGAAGACATTACGAAATTTACCATTTCTGCTCAGGCGTGCTTTTTAAATATATAAAATGGAATTACCATCAGTAAAACCAATACTATATTGAATTGCAATATTTTCCGACCCCTTAATCAGTGCCAGAATTACGCCGCAAACTACACACCCAGCCCGAGAACTGAACTAACCAAGAATAGGATATGTTTCTGTTATATGTTGAGCTAAGTATGACCGGAGATGTGGGGCGATAAGCGGTATGTGCATCTCAGTTTCTAGGTGGAATCTGTATTGCGTCGTGCTCGGTATGTACTGCACTATCATCTTTATATAATCGAAGGTTCTAGCTTCGTTCACCACAACTGAGCAAGGCAGTTTAATGTACTGCTTGCTGTGAAGCCACGAGCGTGTCGCAATTATGGGTATCTTGTTCCGTGCAGTGGTAAGCACGCCTGTAAGGATTGGTGTGCATCAAGTTTAAAGTGGAGGAGCGAATTTATCCACATCTCCAGATCTTACCGCACGACCCTGCTTCGCGCGTGTACTACTATTTATCTGAACTCAGACGTCTCATCATCTAAGGGTGTTTACCAATTTCCCTCTAACATCATATAATCATTGATCAGTATATACAACACAGCTGTTAAGTTGTGCAGGGTCGTTAATACCAACTCTGGATTAAATCCCAGAGAACAATCAAGTGTCAGAGCTTAGGGAAGGGTGTGCTCAAATGTACTAACTAATAATTGATAGCAAACAACTTAATGCGGATTCATAAGATTCACGTTTCCTCGCGCGAGTCAATGTGAGTCGAGGGCCGATTCGCGCGAGGTAACTAGAATCGAGGGTCAACTTACAATAACGCCGATGTGAGTATCGGTGAAAGATATCAATGCCACGACTAACATCATGGTGGTACCTCACTTTCGGTACTGTAGATTACCCGAGGTAACGGGCATCCCGCCTGTGCCTGCATTTCGATAAACATCCAGTTATTCTAAAGATTTGCAGTCTCTTGAGTTCAATAAGGGCGATCTGCGAATAAGTTTGGGGCTCTCTGATTATCGTCTCCCGAATATATCCACATCTCCAGATCTTACCGCACGACCCTGCGCGTGTACTACAGTTGTCACTATGTGTCTGTTCTCAAACACCCCATCATCTACGGGTGTTTACCACTTTGCCTCTACTGTAACATCATAAAATCATTGATCTGTATTTACAACACAACTGTTCAGTTGTGCAGAGCTAGCGAGGGTCGTTGATACCAGCTCAGGAAAAATCCCTGATAACAATAAGCAGTGTCGAAGCTTTCCAGTGTCAGAGTTCAGGGGAGGAGGGGGGGGGCTCAAGTGCAGCTGAAATGAAGAAACCAGACTTCTCATCCGATGATGATAACGAGAGAAAAAGTTCCGGCTTTTTCGCTTTTCTTCCCGGAACGCCTTGCAAAGCTACGCACTGGAGGCAACTCTCATTTTCACTTTTGCTCGTCCGATCACTTGACTGCAAAGTAATGCGTTTCTTCTTCATCATCTATCTGCTGACCCTCGTTTTCCTAGCACGCGCCAGCGCTGATTCCGCGGCGTCCAGTGTGGATGTCGCCAAGGGCGAGCCTTCGAAGCGTGTGGCGGATGGCCATGACAAACACTACTTAAGAAGCCACGCTAGGTCAGTGTTGGATGGCGATGTAGACAGCTCTGAAGAAAGAACATTCGACATGAAGATGCCTGGTACTGCGAAACTTAAAAGCTTGATCAGCTCGGAGGCTTTGAAGAAGATCGTAACAAATACCAAGCTGAGATTGACATCGGATAAGCAGAAGGCTACAAACGACCTTTTTCAAAGGCTCAAAGTTGGAGAAGTGAAGGCGGATCTTTTCCAGAGTGCACCGTTTGAAACGTGGGCTAAGTCTGTAACAAAAGCCTACAAGAAGAACCCCGAAGGTGGCCAAGCGGCTATGGTCTTTACATTGACAGATCACTACGGCGACAAGACTCTGGCGAAGCTTCTAGCCGAAGCACGTCAGAAGTATAAGACGATGATCGTCGCGAACCAGTTACAGAACGCTCAGCTCGACAACTGGATCGTTCAAAAGAGAACATCAAACGAAGTTTTCAGTCTTCTGAACCTAAAAGTACAAGAGGATAATCTTTTGAAGAACCCAATGCTGAAAACCTGGATGTCGTACGAAATGAAGCTAACGGAGAGGCCGAATCGTGCGCTATTACTCAAACTGATGGAGCGGTATGACGACGCTGGACTAACTAAAATGTTAGTAGCAGCAAAGAAAGACCGCAGTACTCGCACCATTGCTTCGGCTGTGAGGCACGCACAGCTTAAGAACTGGTTGAAAGAAAAGAGAACAGCAGACGACGTCTTCAAGCTGCTACGCCTCAGTGCAGACGAGGGGGGCAACCAACTGAGGAACCCAGTTTTAAAAACGTGGTTGGAGTACGCGACAATGCGCGGTCGGGATGGCTATCAGGTGTTGTTGACAAAAATGATGGCAAAATTCAGCGATGAACATGTGGCGAAGATGCTGGCGGTTGCAGCGAGAGATATCAATGTTCGAATTGACGATGAAAAGCTGCACAACGCTCTGCTCAACATTTGGCTCAAGCGCAAGTAAAGTTCAGCGGGCGTTTTCGACCTCCTTAAGCTGAACAAAGAGGGCGATTTCCTTTTCAAAAGCCCAGTGTTGGACACTTGGGTCAGCTACGTATCGAAACTGGATAAGAAAACTGCCGCTAGGACGATGTATTCAGTGATGAAGAAATACCACGGCGACGACGCACTGGAGAAAATGTTCATTCAGGCAAAGGACAACGTGTTTACGAAAAATCTTGCTTTGAAGCTGGAGCAGGAAATGTGGAGGAGCCAACGTAAAACTGTTGACGATGTTTTTACTTATCTGAAACTTGAGTGGGTACTTGGGCCTCGTACGTCAACAAGATGAACAATTTAAAGGACCATCCGGATGAATTCGCAGCTGTTATTGAGCTAGAGAAGCGCTTTGGTGAGTTGAATTTGGCACGCATGCTGGCTTTCGCAGCTCCGAACAGCGAAATGAATAGATCTGTTAACAGCATACAAGAAATGCAATTTCAGCAGTGGAAGACCAAGAAGCGTTCGACACCAACAGCACTCATTTCACGATTAGAAAGACAGCGTCGAGACGACTCGCAGAAGTGGTCAGTATATCTTTCTTACAAAAACTTCTACGACGCGTAGTTGAATACGGTCTAGTAAACTGGTGCTGCCATACCAAAAGCGCCTATATTCTAGATTTGTGTTTATAATTTGAAGCAAAACCTTATCAAAAAATGTGCCTTCGAAAAACAAAGTATAAATATAAGTGCCCCGGATTTGCGATAAATCCGAAGTGCTGAGCGACTGTGTGGCTTGGAACAAAGTATACGATAGTTCCTAGAACATCAAGACTGATGTACCCAGATAATCTTTAGTTTCCTCTACCGTATTCCTTATGTGATTGGCGACAGTCAAATTCTTGAGGTGGTCCAGCCTTTCTGCTACCATAAAAGATACCTACATCTAAAAAACTATATAACATGCTCAAATTTATATTGGTCGCCAAGCACATAAAGCGCGACGACATAAAATTTAAATCAATTTGATTGGCTGCTGGATTTGTCGCTAATGACCGAGCGTCGCCAATCACATAAGGAATACGGTATTTGTCAGTATCAGGGGTGCAGAGCTGTTGATTATGGTTTCGTCTGTGTCTTTTTACCGACAATTTCGACGAACCCAATTAGAAACTACTGAATGATGCTGCATTCATGTAATTTAATGTCAATCTGGAGATTAAGGTTGAGGTCGACTTTTACGGTATTCTATCAGCCCGTCGACAACCAGACCGACACCAGCCGACCGACCGTCACGAGGAGCGACGCTAGATGATGAAGCCGCGTCAGCATAAGCATGGATATATTATCAGCAGCGGCACTGCATGAGTGATTAAAAACAATGATAGGATTATAAAAGTATTATTTTGATATTGGGTATAAATTATATTCTAAATGATTTTTATGACATTTCCACCTAAGTACATGTTTACTATCCGACGTAAGAAGGACGGTCAGTGTGAAAGAAAGTCAGAAAATAAAGAGACGACCGCTCAAAGCGAGCAGCTGAATGCATTTCTATATCGTAATATTTTGTTTGTTGTTTGGCCTAGGCAGGCGCAGGAACGCGCGATACGGGGTCAGTGAGTACATGAGCACATTTTGATCGTCGAAATTTGAGAGCGAATTGTAGTTTAAAAGTAACTTATTTTCTTATTATCTTATTGGAGCTACTTTTGCCGAAGTAGATTAAGATGGAAAACCACAAACGGCAGCAGGTGTTGGCATGACCAAAACACCACATTAACTTGCCGTCACTCTCACATTACGACGTCAGGACTGTGATTAGTAGCGCCTTGCGCGGGGATGCTCTGGATTTTACTGGAAGCGCAGAACCACTTCCGGCATTAGCAGAGTCGCGAAGGCTAAGATTTTCGGTCCGCTACCCTTCAAGAAACATCATCTGGGTGAATGAGTTTTGATGTCTTCCCTGCTCGACACAAGCAACACTCACGTTTTTTTTATTGTGATGCGGCTATGAATTATAAGACTTTCGACTGGTCTATTTTTCTACCTTAGAACTCTTTATTTTTACATTGGTAGCCTCCTCGTGGCACTTTTGCCTAACCATTCTGGTGTCACTCTGCTTTTATATTTACACAGGTTCTATAGTTTAATTGGTTTGTTATTTTGAATTCCAGTTTTTTTCCTTAGTGATCTTTTTAGGAATAATCGCAGATATGAAAATTTAAAAATATTTCAGTTAGTCGCAGTTTGGACGATAACTAGCTACGCTATCTTAAAAAATGTGATATTCTACTAATTAAAAATGGTCGCCAAAACATTTTCTAAAATATAGAGCCGCTGTGCATCGAAATCGATGCAGAAGTAGAAGCATTTTTTCTGGCTATCACTCAGACAGATTGTCGCACCTTCGCCCTCCATCGCTTCAGTCGCATCCAATATTTTCAAGCGGCTGCCAAGCCTTTCGAGCCTGTGCGCAGTACCTCCAAAAGCGTGGACATGTCGACGGCACGAAGATGAGCTTGTGTTTTATTACGTTAAGAGAGCAAACGTGAGAGCCGTAGACCAGGAGACCCGAGGTCAGATGGTGCCGAGTGCTGTGCTTAAGAACATCGACGTGGAAGAGACGATGGCCAGCACCACAAAGCCTCACATAAAGATCAGCAGTCACGATGCCAAAGAGTTACAGACGGTTGAGGTCAATGTATCCAGGTCAAAAGCATCCAGAGGAATGCGAGTCCCGATTGCACGTCGACGGCTTACTCATGTTCGGCCGCTCGACAAAGCTGTTATTGGGAGTACAGGCGATTGCGATCACGATGGAGCCAAGTACCCAGCTCAACAGCACTTTAACCCTCATGGGCGAAGAATTATTCTGTATCCTACAGAATAAGCTGCATGGTAACTCGCTTGTTCACCAACTTTTCGGGCAGTTCTAGACTAGAAAGAGGTAGAGAAGAAATAGGATGAACTTGGCCGAAAGGTTGGTGAGCTCATTGTGATTACTAATGCTAAACGGTAGTATGTCACTCTCTTGATCCCCTTCTTCAAAACGTCTGTGCTTGCCAAAACGAATGCGCTTCTTCAGTTCCGGTGGGATGTTGGTACCGTTGACCCATATTTGATGCCAGATCCGATCGCATGTGAGCGCATTTCTAGTGTCCTGCCGACGAGCGCAGTTTCAGAGAGGAATGTGTCCACCGAAAGCGTCTGTGCAGCGCTGACAGAAATGACCAGTCTCGAAGCTCTTTGTTTCCGGTGCTGCCATAGCGGGGCACGGGTTGCAGGGTTGTTGAAGGTCCTTGTGGTTTTGGTTGGTAGTATAGAGGTTTTCAGTATTTTGTAGCTTTGGGGGACTAGTACCTATTAGCATTGACACCATGTCTTCAGCGTTGCTGTTGTTTCTAAAACATGTCGTGGTGATGCCCAATAGCTCCCGGTGAAGACGGCGCATATACTCGGCGCGCGTGGGTACTCGCTTACCTTCTTTTTTTCTTATTAACTTTTAAATAAATCGAATACCGCGGCAAGCGGAGCGGGTCATAGTGAACCACGCCACCCATACCACAGTGATAGTCCGCTACTATCTGTGGACAGGGGCAACTTCGGTGACGACTGAGCATGTTGTCTTTCTCGTGACTGTAGCCGCAGTAGCTGCACAGCCGGTCGCGATCTATGAGACCTGAACGACACAGTCTCAGAAACCAGAAGTCTTTTTAGCATTAATAGTCACTCGCCCGTTGGATACTTGGTTGACATTTTTATTTCTAACGGAGTCCACCAAGTGTGGAGCTCCAGCAATTCCCAATCTGCCAAGTGTGGGGCGAGTATTATGTTGGCGCCTACTTCTTCCGTCGTGCTCACTGCCCAGACATCGTACGCGATCTCTGCAAGTGAACGAGTAGCAAACGTCCGCTGCTAAGTTTATGAGCCCAAAATTGGAGTAAACGTTCACAACTTCCGTGAACGCTGACGATGTCGTGGACGCTACATTCGATGTCAGACTTACTTGGCACTCCGCCAGTGACCATGTTGCGACGGATGATGTGGCTGTATCAACGTCTGCAGTGTCAGCAGCGGCTGGACTGGTAGGTCCATTGGTTAGGGGTGCTGGCGGGATTCATGTCCTTCAGCCTCCACAGCCGCAGTCTGTTTCTGCGATGAGCTCACCACCTTCAACGCTCATTTTGACTGGAGCTCCGGTGGTAAATGCTTCAGCGAGGTTGCACGCTCATGAAGAACAACAGCAAACGATACCATTGCCACCGCCTAACCTGGCGATGGGTGTGAACAAAAAATCATTAAAGATGGCAGGAAGCTTTAACCGCTATCGCGCTCAAGTTATGGTCTATTTACATCGGTTTAATGCTTGGGGTTTGGTCGATGGATCCGTACAGCGTCCGACTGTAAGTGGGGAACTTCAACAACGCTACGATGTGCTGGACATCTTTGTGAAAGATACTCTTGGCTCTTGGAAAGGTGAGCTTGGAAGAAAAACGCTGGGGTAAGATTAAATTGAGTCCAAATGATTATTAGCCAATCATCTGTCTAGATTTACTTGGAAACTCTACTTGTATTCAGCTTTGACAACCACTATCTACGGCGAAGCCAAGTGCCCAGCTTCATAACCGACAGACAAACAAGAGGCGCGACTCCAGCCCGGCCCCTTGCTAAAAGAACTTGTCAGCTCACACGACTGAGGATCGTGTCAAGACCTGGTACTCGCGCGGCGCCGACGACGGCAGTTCCCGTAAGGTGTGACACAAGGACACGATTGATTTCAGTAGAACATTCTCTAAGTAATATAACCTAGACATGTCATGCTGTAATAGAATTTCAATGCTTGTCCGAGATTCATTCATGCTGGAGTAAATCACTTCAGCTTCGATATGCCCATCGTAAGACCTATTTTACTACCTGATGTTACACAACAAATAAATGTAGAAAGCTCAGAAGGCTCTGGCTCGTAGCGCGCTGATGTGCTTACGTTTAAGCTCTTATTTCCAATGGAAGATCTCAA